CCACCACCACCATGGCCTCCCCTGAAAAAAATTTCTGCAGCTGCATCATGACTACTTGGAACCAAACAGGTTGGAAGGTTGGAGCAGAGTCCCTGAAGTGAAGCAGTGAAGAAATGTGATGTTTCATCTCAGTTCAGCTGAAACATTTCTGACTGATTACCTTAAAGTCAGCATGAAGTCAAATCCTGGAGTCATGGCTCCAAACTTCTGCTGCCTCACACTTTCAGCAAACCTGTACGTGAATTCTTTACACTGCTGGAAGAAGAAAACACAGTCTGTCAGGACTCCCCACAGCTGCACAGTCTCCTCTCATCACACAGCTGCACAGTCTCCTCTCATCACACAGCTGCACAGTCTCCTCTAATCACACAGCTGTACAGTCTCCTCTCATCACACAGCTGCACAGTCTCCTCTAATCACACAGCTGCACAGTCTCCTCTAATCACACAGCTGCACAGTCTCCTCTAATCACACAGCTGCACAGTCTCCTCTCATCAGCTGCATAGTCTCCTCTCATCACACAGCTGCACAGTCTCCTCTCATCACACAGCTGCACAGTCTGCTCTGGGTTTGTTCCACTCAGGATGAAGACGATCATTTCAGTCATCCTGTGGAAACTTAGTGTTCAGCATTAAATAAGATGTTGACCATCTGTTGTAGTTTTTAAGTGCATTAATTTGTTTAAATCCATGTATTTTTTTAAACATGAGATCTGTCCAATAATTAATACCAGATGCCTCTCTAAAGTTCAACTGCTGAATTCATTTAGAATAAATGACAGCCTGAAAAAATAAGCATTAAAAATCACTAAGAGTTCAGAGTACAGACCATCAACAACTACTTTAAAACAAACAATGTTAAAAATAACCATTCAAGTCCTTCAACATGCTATAAAAATTTAGTAGGTTTTGTTTTGAAAACAAACAATGAAAGTACTGATAGTACACGATGGTGGCAGTGTGTCATGTTGTTGCTTCACCCTGGTTCTGGTTCTTCTGACAGTACTACTTGTGTTATGTCTCCCTCTGGTGCTCTCTTGTTGTCATTACATCCTCTCCTCTTGTTTACCTGTCATCACCTTGTTGACCACACTCACCTGTTAGTATTTTTGTAATTAGTCATTTCTCAGCTGTTGCTCATTCTCCTCCCTCCCTCTGTCAGGATTTATTCAGTCTCAGATCTACACTACCTTACTGATTCATTATTTGTCCTGCTGTTTGGTTATTCTTGCTGTTTACCAGTGTCTCCTGAGTTTTTGTGAATCAGTCATTCTGGTTCCAAAAGCTTTTAAAACAACACCTAAACTTTTTACTCTTATTGTTAAATTGGTTTAAATTACTAGTAAAAAAAACAAGTAAAATCAAAACTAGAGACGTGATTACATCAGACCAGGCTACGCAACGCGTTATTACATCAGACGAGGCTACGCAACGCGTTATTACATCAGACGAGGCTACGCAACGCGTTATTACATCAGACGAGGCTAAGCAACGCATTATTACGTCAGATGAGGTTACGCAACGCATTATTACGTCAGACGAGGCTACGCAACGCATTATTACGTCAGATGAGGCTACGCAAAGCGTGATTACGTCAGATGAGGCTACGCAAAGCGTGATTACATCAGACGAGGCTATTCAACACGTGATTATGTCAGACAAGGCTACGAAATGCATGATTACGTCAGACGAGGATATGCAATGCGTGATTGTCAGACGAGGCTACGCAACGCGTGATTACGTCAGACGAGGCTATGCAACGCGTGATTACGTCAGACGAGGCTACGCAACGCGTGATTACGTCAGACGAGGCTATGCAATGCGTGATTATGTCAGACGTCGGTGACAAGCTTTGCGGTAGTAAACAGGAAGTGAAACTTGCTAACTAGCAGAGACTAATCACCTCGGGACAATGGAGCGAATTTTTCGTAAATGCCTTGCTATTGGGCAAGTTGTAATTATTCTATCTATTCAGCTACAGGCTATGTTTAACTCTGCCAGGAGACGTAGGGAAATAAATGCAATGTTAAACTACGCAGCAGAAAGGCACATGCAACTACACAGGGCTAACATCCGGGACGAGGCAGGAAAGTGGAAACAGCTGAACGTCACGTGAGGTAAATATGCGCTACGTCAGAATTTATTCGGCAAATGTGTTTCCATCTCCCGTTTTGCGCTTTAACTACTTTGCGAATCATCCAAAAACCACCTCAAGCGAGCGTAAAAACTTTTTAGCGAATTGAGGATTTTTTTTTTTAATTTTGCTGTTTCCATCCGACTTTTTTTCACATTTTTAATGCAACACTTCTAAATGTGCATCAAAAAGCCTTGATGGAAACACGGTTAATGACTCTATATCCATCTGTATATCCACTCTCACTGAGGCCCAGCCCCTCGTTTCTTCTGATCATCAAAAATTGGAGTCAAATCCTTGAATTGTTCGTTCTTTAAGGAGCTGGGATGATCCTCTGCCAGCTGCAACAATCAGTGTCAACCTGCAGAAAGCTTTGTTCAGTGGCCACACATCCATGGTGAGAATCCCACACATCCATGGTGAGAATCCCACACATCCATGGTGAGAATCCCACACATCCATGGTGAAAATCCCACACATCCATGGTGAGAATCCCTCTGGAGTGTGTTTGGATGAAGAACAGGTGGAGACACACCTGCTGGTCGTACCTCCAACCTGTCAGGAGCTGTGATCAGTACAGCAGCTGCCAGCGCTCCACCTGAAGCCCCCGCACAAGCCTTAACGGACCTGAGCAGCTTGTCCCCGTGGCACAGGAAGGCCCCCACAGCACCCAGGTGGTAGATCCCCGCAAAGCCACAAGCAGCAAAGGACAGGTTCAACACCGTCATATCAGCCCTGAACAGAAACACACAGAACCGGTCAGATTCTGTACAGTGGTGCAGTGTTTCCTGTGGCCATCTCACAACAACTACTTGTGTATGTGTGGGTGTTCTCAGGGGGCTTTAGTGTCCCACGTTCTACAGGAACTTTATGTTGGGTAACTGTTGGTCTGACTTTAGCAAAGGTTCCGGATTTCTGTTCAAACTGATGCTTTACAAAACACTTTTCCAATATTTGATTGTACAAACAGAAACTTGCCTAAAATGACCCAAGTTTTAGTCAACATGCAGACATCTGTCCAGTCAGAGCAGACCTGGGGCCTCATGCATCAACGGTGCGTATGCTCAAAAACCTTGTGTACACCATTTTCCACTCAAAACTCCAGTGGCCTCATGCATAAAGGATTGCACAGCTTTCACATTAAAAGTTGACGTACAGACAAATTTAGAAAAGCGCTCTGCACCAAAATATTCAGATGTATAAAACTGTGCACACGCAGGTTCCTGCGCAACTTTTCTTTATACATCCCAATGAAGGTGGAACTGAGACACCTGAGACTCCTCCATTTAAATCCTTGAGTAAAAGTACATGTATCTTATCATAAAAATACTTTGGTAAAAGTTAAAGTCTTTTCTAAAAATATTACTTGAATAAAAGTCTTAAAGTAACTGATGTTTTTTGCACTTAAGTATCAAAAGTAAATTCCTGACACAAAATCTACTTAAGTATTGAAAGTAAAAGTACTGAGTAAAAGTGAGCAGTTAGATTTTCCAAAATGACATTTATTGGGAGGTGACTTCTCCAAAAACTATATTTTCTAACAGCGTGCAGCTGTGATGGGTTGTGTACAAGCTAATAGTGTGTCAGAATGATATATATTTATACTTCTCATCCAAACACAATTAAATTCACTCTATAGGAGACACAGTTTATCAGGAGAGGATTTTTTAAGTAATAACAACTTGGAAAAAAATAGGAGTAATGACTTTCTACTTCTTTTTAAAAAATGTAGTGAGTAGAAAGTACAGATAATTGTGTAAAAATGTAATGAGTAAAAGTAAGAAGTACGCTGAAAAATAATTACTCAAGTAAAGTACAGATACCCAAGATTTCTGCTTAAGTACAGTAACAAAGTATTTGTACTTAGTTACTTTAAAACTCTGGTAAATAGTTGAAGTGAAGGAACGAGTCTCAGCGTTTCTGCTGAGGTGTGATTTATATTTTAGAATCATGAAGTTTCTCATTCAGATCAGCTGCATGACTCGACTCAGAACTACAGTAAAATACCTGATTGTTTATTTGTTCAGTGTGATACAAACAAACAAACAAACAAACAAAACAAACACACTGTCCTCAGTTCTTCTTGTGCTGATATCATCCTGCAGAACAGCTGACATTGATCCATAAATTACACACAACTTTACGCAGCAACAAATCTGTTGTCTGCATCTTGTGGAGCTGAGGAATCATCACAGCTGAGCTGTTCTGAATTAATCTGCTGAGTTGATGTTTTTTTCTCAGTGAGAATTAAAAATGTTTCTTAGACAATTCACACATTTTATTCTCCTCAGCTGTGTGTGCACCTCGCAGGCCTGCACTCTGTGTGTGTTTCCAACTACGTGACAACAATATAAAAACTTTACAGTTTACAGACTGGACTGATGTTATTTTGATCATTTTTAGACTAGGGCTGCACCGATTAGTTGAAATAATCGATGACGTCGATTATGTAAATTTGTCGACGCAGATTTTTTATTATCGATTCTCTGTATTACATAACACCACGTGAATGTTCATGCAATTCCATTCAGTACCTAAACACATCATTGTGACCGTATTAACATAAGAGTGGTGAGTTTTCCATGCTTGTCCTGAACGCAGCATCACAAGAGCGTAATGACGTCAGCAGCTGCTGCTTCAGTTCAGTCTGAAGCTTGAAAACAAGCCTCGCAGCTCCTGGAGTCAAATTTACTGAACAGACCTCCTCTGAATTATCTGCTGGATTAATAATCTGCTGGATTAATTATCTGCTGGCTCAAAGTAAATAAAGTAGCAGCACTTTATTTCATCCAGCATTAAACAGAGAGCGGTGTTAGGTGGAGCCACGTTCCCCCATCAGACGGTTCCCCCATCAGACGGTTCCCCCATCAGACGGTTCCCCCATCAGACGGTTCCCCCATCAGACTGTTCCCCCATCAGACGGTCCCCCCATCAGACGGTTCCCCCATCAGACGGTTCCCCCAGCGTCTGAAACAACAGAGGAGCTTCAGACACACGTCTGACCTAAAGAGCACAAGCAGCCAACAAGTGTTGGACGTGTTCTGGATGTTCACAACGTACCTTAAATACCTTTCATTTATTTTAACTGCATCCTCTTTTCTTTATTTCATTTAAACTTATTTACCTTCATGGACCTCCATCACACATGTTTCTAGTGGGGAAATGACATCAACAGAAACACGTGGAGCTGGATTTTAATTTGTGTAATAAGACAAAACTGTTGTTGTTTTCAACAGTTTTCACCTTAAAGAAATAAGTTACACAACTCATGTTACAATACAAACAGTTGATGTTGTCTTGATATTTGTTAAATTTTATATAGTGATAAATATGTTAAATAAAAAATAATAAATAAATGTTTATTATAGTTTTTCCAGAGTGACTTGAATTTTGCATGATTTAGTTCATTTGTTAGATTGTTAACATCTTACACTATATTTCTTTTAGTTGAATTTTATATGCTTTGGTTGAGTTTTTATATTGATGTTAAATCTTTTAAGCTTTTTTTGTTAAAGAATTGACTCTAGAGTGCATATTTTGTGTCCATGAAAAAACTATTACAGAAAATATTACAATATTAAAGAACTGTTCTTGTTAATTTGATGAAAACATTTTAAATATCCAGTCACTCACATCAGAATAACTTATAGATTTGTTGTTAGAATAATCGATTAATCGAAAAAATAATGTTTAGATTAATCGATTAGAAAATAATCGTTTGGTACAGCACTAGTTTAGACTAATCTGTTTTCTTTTCTGAGGTTAAATGATTTTCAGTTTCATCATGGTTCAGTTTAAACAATAAAAACTCAAACTAAAATAAAAATCTAACACTGTGTTCAGACACATCCAGAAAACACAACAGAGTCATATTTCTGTGGATTCAGCTCAGATTCATGACTTTGTGAGTTAAAACTGTCGACTGAAAAACTTTGTATGCCTGCTGCACATTCTCAAAGCAGGTGAAAAGTGTGTGTAAATATACGCACACTTTCACGCAACGTTGGTTTTGATACATCACAACGTGGGTGTAGAACCTGGAGCACACAACTTTTATATGCGTATGAACCGTTTATAAATGAGACCCTGGACTTTTTATTGTGCGTCCATCATTTTGTGGATTTGAGCGTACGTCACGTTTCAGTAAGAAATCCACACAAGTGTTTGTACACGAGGCCCTGCAGTGTTTGTTCAGTCCATGAGGCAGATGTTAGTTAACAACTTTAACACAGACATGATGTGTTTGCAGCTGAAAGTCATAATAACCTGATAAAATAACATGATGAACTTGTTGCATCACATCTTTGCTTAATATGTTAGCATTAACTGTTGGGGTCAAACATGTTTGTCTGTTAGCAAAATATCTCAGGAACCACTGGGCAGACATTAATGAACCTTTCATTAAGTGATCATTTGTCACATAGCTTGAACTCATTATCTCCATGGCTCCTACAGTTAATCAACAATAATCAATTAATATCACAGATACTGAGCTAAACGTGACACAGTAGATTATTATATAATCTATCTATAATAATATAAATAATAATATATATTATTATATAATCTATCTATAATATAAATAATAATATAGATTATTATATAATCCATCTATAATAATATAAATAATAATATAGATTATTATATACAATTACAACTCATCACTTCTCATCCAAACACGTGTATAAACTTTATTATTTATATTATAATTAGTTAGCCATCCTATTCTAATGTTGCACACAGTTAAAGCAATAAAACGTATAATCTTCATGACAGAGCTGACTAACACACCTGTAGTGTGTAAAACAATCAGACTTGTTGTTTGTTAGAACGAACATAACAAACACACACTGAAGTGTTGAGTTGACCTGCATGATAAATACATACCGTGTTCTGACCCACTCTGAACAGGTCTTCTTACACTAAATAATCAAGTAAAACTAAAGAAATATTCATAAGTTTGGCTGTTCCTCTTCGTTTACATACACACCGGAAGTAAACAAAAAGGACTTCCACTCACGGTTTTCTTCTTCTCTTGTTTAATTGCGGTGGCAGGCATCATTTAGCGCCACCACCTGGATGACATGTGAACTGAAAACTGAATGTGTATCACACAGATGTGTAAGGTTTTTATGTGTACCATGTTGTTGCATGAAGATGATTTCAGTCTTCATGTATTTCTGGGCTCTTTCCTGTCTGCAGCTTTGCTCCTGTGTGGATAAATAGTTTCTGTTTGACAAACCTGATTTATCAACAGGGAAAGTATACCAAATTTAAAAGGTCTTGAGATGTTTGAAAAAATTATATATATATATATATATAT